GCAGACTGAGGCTGAGGCTGAAGCAGGCTGAGGCTGAGGCTGAGGCAGGCTGAGGCTGAGGCTGAGGCAGGCTGATGCTGAGGCAGGCTGAGGCTGAGGCTGAGGCTGAGGCTGCAGGCTGAGGCTGAGGCAGGCTGAGGCTGAGGCCGAGGCCGACGGCAGATTGAGGCTGAGGCTGAGGATGGCTGAGGCTGAGGCTGAGGCTGATGCAGGCTGAGGCTGAGGCAGGCCTGAGGCTGAGGCCGAGTCCGACGGCAGACTGAGGCTGAGGCTGAAGCAGGCTGAGGCTGAGGCTGAGGCAGGCTGAGGCTGAGACCGAGGCAGGCTGATGCTGAGGCTGAGGCTGAGGCTGAGGCTGAGGCTCATGCAGGGTGAGGCTGAGGCAGGCTGAGGCTGAGGCCGAGGCTGAAGGCAGACTGAGGCTGAGGCTGAAGCAGGCTGAGGCTGAGCCTGAGGCAGACTGAGGCTGAGGCAGGCTGAGGCTGAGGCTGTGACTGCGACTGCCGTTGCCACTACGACTGTCATCGCGAATGCGACTACGACTGCGAGAACAGCAGAATTCTACAACTGGATTATCATATGAATCTTAAGGGGAATGCTTCCAGATATGCTCCTACACATCGCTGTTAGGTTGCTTTGCCAGGATAATTCGCTTAAAGGGGCCGGCAGTGTAGGCCGCCCCGGTCGGTTCCCCCAGTCCCCGCCCCGCGGTTCCCCCAGTTGCGCCCCCTGGGTTCCCCTAGCTTAGCTGAGCTCAGCTTACCTTAGCTTAGCTTAGCCCAGCTAAGCTTAGCTTAGTTTAGCATAGCTGGGCGTAGCCTAGCCTAGCTTAGCTAAGCTTAACTTAGCTTATCTCAGCTTAGCTCAGCTTAGCCTATCTTAGCTGAGCTTAGCTGAGCTTAGCTTAGTTCATCGTATATCATCTTAGCTTAGCTTACCTCCGCGTAGCTTAGCTTAGCTCAGCTTAGCTTAGCTTCTATCATCTTCGTTGAGCTTAGCTTAGCTTAGCTGAGCTTAGCTTAGCTTGGCTTAGCTCAGCTTAGACTAGCTTAGCCCAGCCTAGCCTAGCTTAGCTTAGCTTAACTTAGCGTAGCTTAGCTTACCTTAGCTTAGCTTAGCGCAGCATAGCGCAGCATAGCGCAGCATTAGCACATCATAGCATAGCATAGCATAGACAAGCATAGCATAGCATATCATAGCATGTCATAGCATAGTATAGCATAGCATAGCATAGCGCAGCATTCCATAGCATAGCATAGATGCAGGTGTAGATGTAAATGAAGCTGTCGGTGTAGATGTAGATGTTGCTTTTCTAAATGCTCCAACTCCTAGGTAGGGTCGCACGGGGCTATAGTTTGTTTCTATCTATATATGTGTGTTTAACAAAAAACTGGAGCCTCGGACCCCATATTGCTGCGTTATTTCTCGAGCCTCGAGCCGGGCCCATCTATGAGGGTTCCCAGGCACGAAATTGAGCGAAAGCGCCCGTTGCGAAAAAGTTGCAACGCCAGGATCTCAGAAATTCTTGAGCCACGTCCAGAAGCCCCTCTATCGGGTCGGGCGAAAGGGGGAGATAGCAAAAGGGGGGGTGAGAATCAGCTCACGTAACTGACTTTCCTGGCGCCTCCTGGCGCCGGAGGCGGCTATGTACGGGGGAATTGGCCCCTCGGTGAGGCCGAAACCAGCTGCATGCAGCAGATTTCGTACCACCCCCCTTTCCCAATCCCCCCCTTTCGTCCGGCCCGACTCCAGAGGCCCCTCTAGGAGCCCTTCTAGGAGCCGCTCGAGGAGCCTCCGAGGGAGGCCGCAGACCCCTCTAAAAGAGCCTCCGAAGGCCCCTCTGGGAGGCCTCCGGAGGCCTCCGCAGACCCTCCGGGTGCCTCCACAGAGCACCCGCCGGCGGAGCCTTTCTGGGTGGCCTCTGCCGCCCGCGGCGGAGGAGGGAGGCGGACGCCCGCGGGGGCGCGGCCAGCCGGGGACGCAGAAGCGCAGTCGCCGAGACTGGACCCACACTGCCCAGGAAAAGCACTGCAACTTACATCAACCTCTTCCTCCTCCTCCTCCTCCTCCTCCTCCTCCTCCTCCTCCTCCTCCCCTCCCTCTCCTCCTCCTCCTCATCATCATCAGCATCCCAAACAACTCCTCCCTCATCATCATCATCATCATCATCATCATCATCATCATCATCATCATCATCATCATCATCATCATCATCATCATCATCATCATCATCCTCATCCTCATCAGCATCAGCATCAGCATCAGCATCAGCATCAGCATCATCGTCATCATCATCATCACAATCATCACCGTCATCATCATCATCATCAGCAGCATCAGCATCATCATCATCATCATCATCATCATCATCATCATCATCATCATCACCATCATCATCATACTCATACTCATCATCATCATCATCATCAGCAGCAGCAGCAGCAGCATCAGCATCAGCATCATCATCATCATCATCATCACCATCCCCATCCCCATCATCATCCTCATTATCACCATCATCATCACCACAATCATCACCATCATCATCACCAGCATCATCACCATCACAATCACCACCACCCACACCATCACCATCATCACAAGAATCATCATCAGCCTTAGCGTTATCATCATCACCACCACCACCATCACCATCATCATCAGCATCCTTCTTATCATCAGCGTCGTCATCAGCATCCTCATCATCACCGGCATCATTACCATATTCATCATCGGCAACATCAGCATCCTCACCATCATCATCGTCTCCATCCTTATCCTCTTCATCATCATCATGATAAACAACATCATCATAATCATCATCATCCTAATCATCCTCACCCTTAACCTCATCAGCATCACCACCACCGCCTTCACCATCATCATCAACATCACCAACACCATCATCATCATAATCATCATCAGCATCAGCAGCATCATCATCACCATCACCATCATCATCATCATCATCATCATCATCAGTGTCGTAATCAGTATCCTCATCATCGTCCCAAGATTCATCATCGTCATCATCATCGCCATTACAATCATTGTCGTCATCAGCACCCTCATCATTATCATCCCCATCCTCATCACCTTCAACATCTGCATCCTCATCATCATCATCATCATCACCCTCACCATCAACGTCCTCAACCTCATCATCACCCCCGTCCTCATCATCCTCACCCTCACCATCATCATCATCATCATCACCACCACCACCACCATCATCATCATCATCATCATCACCATCACCATAACCACCACTACCACCACCACCATCATCAGAAGATCATGAATAGAATCAGCATTAACATCATCACCATCACAATCATCATCGCCATCGCCATCATCGTCGTCATCATCCTTACCATTACAATCGATATGTTCACCATCACCATATTCAGCATCGTGAACATTAGCATCCTAAGCATCATTATGATCATCATCATCATCATCATCATCATCATCATCATCATCATCATCATCATCATCATCATCATCATCGCCATCCTCGTCATCATCATCATCAAGAACATAATCATCCTCATTGTCATCACCATCATCATCAGCATCGTCCTCATCCTCATCCGCATCATCAGCATCAGCATCATCGCTATTATCATCATCATCATCATCAGCAGCATCAGCATCAGCATCAGCATCAGCATCAGCATCAGCATCATCATCATCATCATCATCATCATCATCATCATCAATCATCATCATCATCATCATCATCATCATCATCATCATCATCATCATCATCAATCATCATCATCATCATCATCATCATCATCATCATCATCATCATCATCATCATCATCATCATCATCATCATCTCTATGTGTTTGCTTTCGTTGCCTTCGCTGTTTCGTCGTTTGGGGCCTCTGGGGGGGGCGCCTCCGGACCCTGAGACCGTCATAAACAGACCCCGGACGAAAACCCACCCGCAGGGGTGTCCGCCGGGCACGCTTCTTCGACACGACCGGCAAAGATTCCGGACGACTTCTCCAGGGGGGGGGCAGGAGGGGGCACGAGCCCGCCCACCCCGCCACCCCGCCCTCCCGAAGGTCTCCGTGCCAGGGCGACGGGGTGTGCACGCATCCCCTGCCCCCTGGCCAGACCCCTCCTGGGCCCACGAGCGGCGCATACGCCCGCCCGGCTTGGCCAGGGAGGTGCGTGCACCGCTCCTGGCTCCAGGCGGGCGTGGCCCGGGGCAGCCGACGATGTGTGTACAGTGGGGGCCCGACCACAGGAAACCTTGCACAAGAAGCCCAACCCTGAGTCCCCAGGACGTCCACCGAGTTTCGGTGTGGGGGCGTCGCGCCTTCCATGGCAAAACCATCGAAGCCCCAGAAACTCAGGGCAACCTGGAGGCAAGCAGGACCTTTCTTGACAGGAAACCCAACCCTGCGTCCCCAGGACGTCCACCGAGTTTTGGTGTGGGGGGCGTCACGCCTTCCATGGCAAAACCATCGAAGCCCCAGAAACCCTGTACACCGTGGAGGCAAGCAGGGTGTTTCTTGGCAGAAACTCAACCCTGAGTGACGTCACGCCTTCCATGGCAAAAAACCATCGAAACCCAAAAAACCCTGTGCACCCTGGAGGCAACCACTATATGTGCACCGCTCCTGGCTCCAGGGTGGGCATGGTCAGGGACAGCTGCCAATGTGTTTAGAGCGCGTCGCCCCGCACGCCCCGACGGTGCGGGGGAAGCCACACACACACACACACAAACATATCGCGGCGCACCCCGTTCACTGCCCACCCGCCCCTTGCGCTCGCCCGATCCTCCAGGGCTAGACCTAAACGTTGTGTTTCGTCTTGTTTTGGTTTTGCTTTTCGTTTTCCTCTACCTGTTTTCCTGCACCTTCCTGCCAACACGAAAAACAAAACACAGCCGAAGTCCAGCGATACAGCGTTCGGGTCCAGCCCTTAAACACATCGCGACGCACCCCGTTCACTGCCCACCCGCCCCTTGCGCTCGCCCGATCCTCCACGTACGCCTGCAGCTCAGGATTCACCATGAACTCGGTGTTCAGGCCGGTTCCCTGGGACACCAGAAGGTTCGCGGCGCACTCGTCCTCCAGGGTGCACCAACAAAACAAAACAAAACTCCTCCTCCTCCTCGTCCTCCACCAACAAAACAAAACAAAACTCCTCCTCCTCCTCCTCCTCCTCCTCCTCCTCCTCCTCCTATTCCTATTCCTATTCCTATTCCTATTCCTATTCCTATTCCTATTCCTATTCCTATTCCTATTCCTATTCCTCCTCCTCCTCCTCCTCCTCCTCCATCCTCTCGCTCCTCACTCCTCCTCTCTCCTCCTCCCTCCTCCTCCTCCTCCTCCCTCCTCCTCCTCCTCCTCCTTCTCCTTCATCTCGCTCCTCTCTCTCCTTCTCCTCCTCCTCCTCCTCCTTCTCCTCCTCCTCCTCCTCCACATCCTCCTGATCATGCGGGCAACGAAAGGAGGGCGTGCACGCAAAAAAGCGACCCCAGGCAAGAGCGACCTTCGGTTCGTTGCACGCGGTGCGGCGGCAGGGGTTCGGCCGCCCGGCGCACCCCAGGAGGCCGCGCACCAGAGGTCGCTCTGGCGAAGGTCACTCGGCTTTCGGGTTGTGATTAACTTTAGGTCGGGCAGGTCCTCCTACGGGCGGATCTTCGACGACAAATGACAAAAACTCGAGAACGAAAACCCAAAAGAGTAAAAACAAAAAAAAACAAAAAAAAAAAAAAAAAAAAAAAAAAACATCGCCCCAGACTTAAACAATGTTTGAATATTCCTCCTGCAGGGGGGCACGCCCAACTTAAGATTAACTGGGGTCTATTGCAGCTGATCGGGCCGATCTGGGCACCCCCGAGAGCGCCCTTGAGGCGCAGCTGCTGGGACGCGCCTCGAGGCAGGAAAACCTCCAGGAATCGACGAAGGCGTCAAAAAAATATGTTGCCGCACGCCGTAGGGGCATCCCAGATGGGATCAGAGCAGATGGGGTCGGAGGCTCGTGGCGCATCGCCGACGCATCACTGGCGCATCGGCCATACATCGGCGACGTCGGCGATGCATCGGCGACGTCGACGTGGAGAACATCGGGCTCCACATCGAGCCGCATCGCCGATGAATCGGCGACGCGGCTCGACCCTCAAACTCCATCTGCTTCGTCCCATTCGGGAGGCCTGAGTCTTGCGCGGTAGCCGTGGCCTCCGTCTCGCCCATCAGCGGCCTCCCGGCGAGCACGAAGAACGCGATGCAGCCCAACGCCCAGATGTCCACGGAGTCCGCCGCCGGCAGGCGCTGGCGGTTCTGGATCGCGGCGAGCCGCTCTGGGGCGCAGAAGCCCACCTGCACGGCGTCGTCCGGCGAGTGGTACCGCGGCAGGCGGTGCTCCTCCTCTTGCGACCCCTTGTGAGGAGAGGGGGGGGGGCTCTGAGGAGGAGGAGGAGGAGGAGGAGGAGGAGGAGGAGCAGGAGGAGGAGGAGGAGGAGGACGGGGGGAGGAGGGGGAGGAGGAGGAGGGGGTGATCTACCCAGACCTCCGACGATGTAACTTGTTCAGTCCGGGAGTTGTTCCTCGATTTCGGCCTCAGGGGGGCCGCTGTCTGGCCCCCGGGACACTCAAAAGTGGACCCGGGACGCAGCACTACCCCAGGGGAAGCGGTCGGGACCTCTGGGGCCGCGCATCGGAAGAAAACGTATCGGCGGATGTCTGGGTACGCAGCCAGGACGAGGAGGAGGAGGAGGAGGAGGAGGGAGGAGGAGAGGGAGGAGGAGAGGGAGGAGGAGGAGGAGGAGGAAAGAGAGCAGGAGGGGGCGAGCTGGGCTCTCGCCTGGGTCTCTTCCCCAGGGGGGGGGAGGAGGGAGTCCCTGCCCAGCCCTGGGGAGCACCCACGCAGTGCCCTGCAAGCTTGCGGCGCGGGGCAGAAGTAGAGAGCCGAAAATGTTTAGGGTTTCGGGTTTAGGGGCTAGGGTCTACAAGCTCTGCCGCAGCTGATCCCCTCCTGCCTAGGAGCCCACCTGCGGTGGCTGCCAGTCCCACCCGCAAACCACCCTACCATAAAAATCATGTTCCCCTCGTTGTAAACACAACGAATGGGAGCGCTGGGGCGCGCCTGGGAGCGCCTGGGAGCGCTTGGGAGCGCCTGGCACGCCTGGAAGCGCCTGGGAGCGCTTGGGGGCGCCTGGGAGCGCTTGGGAGCGCCTGGAGCGCTTGGGAGCGCCAGGGAGCGCTGTGAACGCCTGATCATGGAAATCACATTGTAAAACACAATTCTGCGACAGCGGCGCACTTGGTAAGGAAAGTTTCATAGGTGCATAAACGCATAATCAATAAGTATCATTTGTTGCAAGGGCTGGCGAAGGCTTACGTCCGCGGGCGCGCATTTGCATTGCAAATCACAATGGATATCGCACGCATGATGAGGAAATAATATTTTTCTTGCAAGGGATGGCGAGGGTTTACGTCCGCGGACGCGCAGTTGTAGTGTAAAGCACAAAGGATTCTGCACGCACGATCAGGAACTAATATATGTTGCAAGGGATGGTGGTGGTTTACATGCTGGTGCGTATGTGCCCGTATGTACCCGTAGGTGGCCGCTTTTGCAATATTCAGTGCTTCATAACTATAGGATTGAGAATTTAGGGCTTAGGGTCTACAAGCTCTGCCGCAGCTGATCCCCTCCTGCCTAGGAGCCCACCTGCGGTGGCTGCCAGTCCCACCCACAAATCACCCGACCGTAAAGATCATCTCTCCCCTCGTTGTAGGCACCACGAATGGAGCGCTTGGGAGCGCCTGGGAGCGCTGGGAGCGCTTGGGAGCGCCTGGCACGCCTGGAAGCGCCTGGGATCGCTTGGGAGCGCCTGAAGCGCATGGGAGCGCCTGGGAGCGTTGTGAGCGCCTGAAACATAATGGAAGTCACACTGTCAAACACAAGATTCTGCGACAGCGGCGCACTTGGCAAGGAAAGTCTCATAGGTGCATAAACGCATAGTTAGAAAACAATATCATATGTTGCAAGGGATGGCGAGGGTTTACGTCCGCGGACGCGCATTTGCATTGTAAACCGCAATGAATTATGCACGCATGATCAGGAAAAAATAGCTGCTGCAAGGGATGGCAAGGGCTTACGTCCGCGGACGCGCATTTGTAGTGTAAATTGCAAAGGATTCTGCACGCGCGATCAGGAAATATATTTTTTTGCAAGGGATGGTGGTGGTTTACATGCTGGTGCGTATGTGCCCGTATGTACCCGTATGTGGCCGCTTTTGCAGGATTCAGGGCTTAATAACTATAGGATTAAGAATTTAGGGCTTAGGGTCTACAAGCTCTGCCGCAGCTGATCCCCTCCTGCCTAGGAGCCCACCTGCGGTGGCTGCCAGTCCCACCCGCAAACCACCCTACCATAAAGATCATCTCTACCCTCGTTGTAAGCACAACGAATGAGAGCGCTTGGGAGCGCATGGAAGCGCCTGGGAGCGCTGGGAGCGCTTGGGAGCGCCTGGAACGCGTGGAAGCGCATGGGAGCGCTTGGGAGCGCCTGGGAGCGCTTGGGAGCGCCTGGAGCGTTTGGGAGCGCCTGGGAGCGTTGTGAGCGCCTGAAACATCATGGAAGTCATATTGTCAAACACAGGATTCTGCGACAGCGGCGCACTTGGTAAGGAAAGTCTCATGGGTATATGAACGCATAAACAGAAAATAATAGTTTCACAAGGGATGGCGAGGGTTTACGTCCGCGGACGCGCATTTGCATTGTGAACCGCAATGGATCATGCACGCACGATCAGGAAATAGTATTTGTTGCAAGGGATGGCGAGGGTTTACGTCCGCGGACGCGCATTTGCATTATAAATCGCAATGGATTCTGCACGCATGATCAGGAAATAATGATTTTGCAAGGGATGGCGCCGGTTTACATGCCGGGGCGTATGTTACCGTACGTACCCGTATCTTACCGTATGTGCCAGTTTTTTTTCTGTGTTCAGGGCTTAGTAATTATAGGATTAAGAATTTAGGGTTTAGGGCTTCGCATCCTCATAAGAAGCACCCCGACAAGCGAAGCCGTTTAGTCAGCGCACCCGTGGAAGGAGTCGAGCAGGGCAGGGTCGTTTAGTCAACGCTCACGGCAGTTCAGTAAGCGCCAGTTGTCGGTGTCGGGGTGGTTTTTCCTTCCTTGAAGAAGGGCCAGGAGAAGCTCGGAACGTCGATGCTTGGTGTCTGGGGCGTGCCTCTCCTGTCGCGCCGACGCGTGGTGGGCCAGACCTTGCGGCGCGACACACGACAGTGGAGGCCCATCCACAAGAAGCCCAACCCTGAGACAACAGGACGTCCATCGATTTCTGGTGTGGGGACGTCACGCCTTCCACAGCAAAACCATCGAAACCCAAGAAGCCCTATGCACCCTGGAGGCAGGCAGGGTGCTTCTTGGCATGGGCCCCCCCACTGTAGGCAGGCGCTCCTGGCCGTAACCGGATCCGGGGGGGAAGGGAGGATGACCTGGCCTCGGCCAGGGCTTGTTTTTCTGGGGGAGGGATCCCTGACCCCTCCTGTCTGGTCTTCCCAGGCCACGCTAACGGCGATGTTGTCTAACGGTGATGTTGGGAACCAACTTGCATGAAATTACGACCCACACTGTCCTACATTTTCAATATGCAAATGCATCGAACGAAAACGACACAGCAAGTTGTAGGAAAGCGCGAGCCATGCGTTCCCACCATACCAAAACCTACATCGCCGTTACCTACCTCGCCGTTTGCGTGTCTACGGGTCTTGTTTAGGGGAACAAGAAGTGACATAAACATAAAATCTCGGAGGTCCGCGCGGATTTCTCGGATCGGCGCTGGACCCCTCTCCCTGGTGCGCGGAGCGCGCCAGGGGCGGCGCTGGAGGCGTCGCCTGGGGGCCCCAGCGCCGATCCGAGAAATCCGCGCGGACCTCCGAGTTGTTATGTTTATGCCACTTTTCGTTCCCCTTATTGCTAGGCCAGAGAATGCCGAAGGAGGTCCCAAGAAAAGGCGGCCGCCGCCTGCCCCAGGGAGCGGACGCCCTGGGACCATCCAGGGCCCCCAGGAGGAGCCCCAAAAACTCCCAAAAGCGTCCCAGCACGTTCCCGATCCTCGGTTCCTCCTCCTCCTCCTCCTCCTCCTCCTCTTCCTCCTCCTCCTCCGCCGCCTCCGCCTCCTCCTCCTCCTCCTCCTCCTCCTCCTCCTCCTCCTCCTCCTTCTCCTCGAACCTGCTTTTTCAAGAAGAAAAGGTGGCCCCCCTTCTCCTGACCCCCGCTTCGCACTGCCCGATCCCTGCCCCCTGAGCCTGTACGTCTGGGAGCAGCACGGCGCTGCCGAAGTCTATGGCGCGGTACTGGAAGAGGTCCCCCATCAGACTGGTCACCTCTCGGGTGCGCCGGGCACCGACGAGGTGGGCCAGGCAGAGAGAGGGTCAGCGCATCATAGCCCGAGGCACGTGCGCAGACGAGGGGGGCCTTGGAACGCACTGAAAGAAGAATAAGAAGAAGAAGAAGAAGAAGGAAAAGAAGGCGCAATGAAATCTGGGAGACTTCATGGGCCCCGGTCGTGACACAGTCGGGCCGTGTCGTAAGGATGCGCGATAAGGATGCGAGGGCCTTGGACGCCCATGTCGAGGCCCTTCGAGCGGAAGGCGGCCAACAAAAGTGGCCAAGCATGGACCGAGGAGGCAAGGATGCCGGGCCACCCCTCGGGAAGGACGCCCATCCTGACTATGCGGGCCGACTGCACCCACAAACCCCTGACCGCCACCACCCTCTTGAGAACGCCCCCGAACCTTGAAGGCCACGAAGTTGGACGGGGCGCAGTCCCCCCAGCCTCGGAATGCTGCCAGGAGTGGTCCCGGCCCGCGGCGTCCCCGGCTGCCGATACGCCACTCGTCAACTCCCTGGGCCTCCGGAGGAGTGCTCCGCAGGCCGCGGGGGGGGGGGGCCCTGGAAATCCAAGGGACACCCTGGGTCGGGCGCACACCTTCTGGCAACACCCGACAGCCGATGCCGCACTCGTGCAGGAAGAGCACCACGTTCACGCAGTTGACCAGCACGGGCCTCGTCGCGCCGTCCCGCCCAACTCGCTCAACGTCGGCCCCGAGACCACTCCCAGGCTCCATCCTGGCCGGTTTGTCGAGCTGCATCCAGCCGTGGCGACGAGGACCTCCAGAAGCACTCCAAAACCTCCGTTCAGGCGTCGCACCCATCACCGACGTCCATGTTCGAAAGCGCGGGCCTCTTCATGTCGTTCGTGATGGTCCCTTCCGACGCGGACCTCAGCACGTCGGTCAGGTTGCCGCTGCCCTCGTCGAGGCACAGCATGCCGAACGGGTAAGGCGAAGACTCGGGATTCACCCGCGAGTCCTTCAGCATGGCGATGAAGGCGCGGGCCTCCTGCTGGCGGTGCGCACAAGGGGGTGGCGCGAGGGGGCCAGCCTGCACACAAACCAGGGGGGATCTTGGAAGCCCTTCCGCCACCTCCTCCTGCTCCTCCTCCTCCTCCGCCTCCGCCTCCTTCTCCTCCTCCGCCTCCTCACTCCTCCTCCTCCTCCTCCTCCTCCTCCTCCTCCTCCTCCTCCTCCTCCTCCTCCTCCTCCTCCTCCTCCTCCTCCTCCTCCTCCTCCTCCTCCTACTCCCCCTCCTCCTACTCCCTCCTCGTCGTCCTCGTCGTCGTCTTCAGGGTCGGCGGCACCGGCCGTAAGGCCTTCACAGTAAGGAGCGAAAGGGCTTGTCTGGCCACGGCGGGCTTCGGCCACGAGCAGGTTTCCCGACCTAGATCTAAAGAACGGTGGGAAACCCGAGCCCCCCCTGAGCCCAAAGCGGTCCTTATGTCAGCCTCTTGACTGCACAGTATAGTGGAGGCCAGTCCACAAGAAACCTTCCACAAGAAACCCAACCCTGAGACCCCAGGGCGTCCACAGGTTATGGTGTGGGAACGTGACGCATTCCATCGCAAAGACATCGAAACCCAAGAAACCCAGGGCACCCCAAAGGCAAGCAGCGTGCTTCTTGGCATGGGCCCCCACTGTATGACAACTACCTCACGACTAAGACTAGCGCTCCACTGAAGCCTGCCTCTCTCGGAAGCCTCCGAGCCCTTCTCACCAGGCCACCCCGCTTCTTGCGCCGCGCCCCGTGATACGCGCGACGCGAGTTTAGCTTCGCGCCCTCGCGAGGCCCTCGTCTGGAGGAGAGCAGCTCTCTGGCCCAGGCGGCGGCGCGTGAAGGGCGATTGTCCTCGCGCCCCTGAGGCCAACCTGGCTCTAAGAAGCCCTCTTAAGAGACTGCCTTCTTGGAAGCGTACAAGCCCTTCTGAGGAGCGCCCTGCCTACAAGGCCGCCACCCTCGTCCCAGAGAGAGGGGAGGAGGGGAGGAAACAAACACACACACACACACACAGACACACGCACGCACACACACACACACACACACACACACACACACACACGCACACGCACACACACACATAGTTGTTCGGTCGCACGCAGCTGAGGCGGCAACCACTCGAGCGCTCAGAGAGTCAACGTCGGGCTGAACGAGAAAATCAGGATTCGCCCCTGGAAAACAATCCGCTCCGGACGGTCACCCGTCGTATTTCCCTCTGGCAGAGGCCCGCGCGACCTCGGCGCCGGGGGCCCCGGGCGGTCACCCCCCAGGCTTCCCTCCTGCTGAAGCTTCCATCCCCCCCCTTGGCTCCTCGAAATCGCCCTTCCCTTAGCCTGCCGAGGCTAACCCCCCCCCCTCGCGTCAGCGTTGCGTACAGTCACCCAGTATAGTAAGGATGCGCGATAAGGATGCAAGGGCCTTGGACGCACATTTCGCAGCTGTTCGAGCGGGGCGCGGCCAGCGAAAGCGGCGAAGGATGGACCGAGGAAGCAAGGATGCAAGGGTACCCTTGGGAAGGTTGCCCATCCTTACTCTCATGGTTGACTGTAGTGCGTCTCGAGCCGGCAAGTGACGAGGGGGGAAGCGCTGGCCCCTCACGGGGCAGCGGCGGGGGCAGGCGGCGGGCGCAGCGAGCGGCGGCGCCAGACGGGCACAGGCGGGCCAGGCCCGGCACGGGGCGGAGGCGGGCAGCGGCGGGCAGCGCCGGCGGGGCCCACACACGTACGCACACACAAATACAACCTCGCACACACACACACACACACACACACACACACACGCACACACACGCACACCCACACACACACACACACACACACGAACAAGCCACACATTTCTGCGCGCCGCCGATCCTGGATGACCTTCGACTCCTCCACCAGGGACTTTCCAATGCGTTGCAGCCTGGCCGAGACGGTCCTCTCCTTCTCGACGTCCTCGGCCCCATAAGCTGTGAGCGCAGCGCAGAGGACCCAAACAATGATATTGTCGGATGGTGCACGCTATTGTTACTGCCATGTTGCGCCCGCTGGTATACTCGCTCGCGTGATTGCGCTGCCTGTGTGCGTGACCCTTGCCTCAACCCCTACCGCAACCCCGATCCATGCCTACTAGTCGGTGCATATCCCTCGAGGAGGACAGTTGGCATGAAAGCAGGAGACCCAAATTCAACACCCAGGAAACGCACGGGTGGTACACTGTCGGCGCCCCCCCTGCGCCACTATTACAGAGAGTTGGGAATTCCTCAGGTGCTCAGGCGCTGAGGCGCGACCCCAATCCCCCCCAATATGTGGACCTCTCGACTGGATAAGCCCAACGCAAGAATTCGCGATAGGGGCGATAGGGCCGCGTCCGAATAGCCCCCTTGGGGGGTACCCCCGAGTCTTCCTTGTCTTGAACGAGAGCCACGCGCGCTTCACGCGCTCAGGTTAGTCTAAGGCAGTTGCCTCGTGCTCATCCTATGCATACGCTGCATACCGTAGCCCAACTCGTCTCATTCCTCCCCGCCCTCCTCCTCCTCGTCCTGCTCCTCATCATCATCATCACCATCATCATCACCATCACCACCATCACCATCACCACCATCACCATCAACATCATCATCACCATCACCACCACCATCATCATCATCATCATCATCATCATCATCATCATCAGCATCATCATCGTCATCCTCATAATCATCCTCATCAACATAGTCTTCATAATCATCATGGTCAACATCGAACAATCTTCATCACGACTACCATCATCAGCAGATTCTCCATCATCATCATAGCCAACATCATCCGCACCACCACCACCACCACCATCATCATCATCATCATCATCATCATCATCATCACCAGCATCACTATAATCGGCAGCAGCATCATAATCATCGTTAGCACCAGCATCATCACCATCACCAGCATCATCATCGTCATCACCATCATCATCTGCATTAACATCACCATCATCAGCATCATTATCATCCGCCTCCTCCTCATCATCGCCGTCGTCATAAGCGTTGTCATCAGAATCAGCATCCTCGTAATCATCCGAATCCGCATCAGCAGCAGCATCAGTATCATCATCGCCACCATCATCAGCACAAGTAGCATCACCATCAACACCACCAGCATCATCGTCATTGCCAGCATTGTCATTAACATCATCAGCAGCAGCACCATCGTCATCAGCATCATCAACATCATCACCATCGTCATCACCATCATCAGCAGCATCAGCATACGTTTCATTATAAACAGCATCATCATCATCACCAACACCATCATAATCATATGCATCATCCTCGTCATCTTCATCATCATAATCATCAGCATCAGCAGCGTCATAACCAGCATCATCCTCACCCTCATCATCATCAGCATCCTTTTCAGCATCAGCATCAACATCATCATCATCATCATCAGTATCGTCGTCGTCGTCATCAGCATCATCATCAGAAGCATAATCATCGTAACCATCTTAATAATCCACATCGGCAGCAGCACCATCATCACCACAATCATTGGCATCGTCATCATGAACATCACCACCATCAACATCATCACCATCACCAGCATCAGCATCTGCATCATCATCATCAGCAGCATCATCATCGCCGTCATCGTCGTCGTCGTCTTTGTCGTCATCGTCGTGATCATCCTAATAGTTTCTGCATTATTCCTCGCATTATCCTCCGCGTCGGTTTCGTCCTCTTCTCTCCCCCTATCCTTCTCTGACACTTGCTACCCGCACAAGGACGGATGGAAGCGGGGGAAGCCGTGATAGATAAGACGGGAAGGTGGGATAGAAAGAAGGAGGGACGAGAAAGGAGGGATGGAAGAGGAGAAAGGGATGGGCAAGGAGCTCGGACGACGGATCAAGGAGGGCCCCCGAGAGGCCGCCAGAGAAAACAAAACAGGGCCCGAACCCGAGCTGCGCGAAAGCCTCTTTGCTCCCGGGGGAGGGGCCTCTTGGGGGGGGGCTATTGAGGGCATGCTGGGCCGCCAGGGCAATCATCCAAGACCCCGGTTGGCCCCCTCTTGGCCCCTTGGGGCCCTCCTGGGACCCTCATGGGGGGTCTTGTGGGGCCCTCTTGTGCCGTCCATCTTGGGGAACTCTTAGGGCGTATTGGGGCCCTCTTGGGCCGTGGTGGTACAAGGTTGGGAGCCTCGTAAGCCGTTTCTAGGAGACCTGGCATGCCCCTGGGGCCGTCTTGGGCTGTCGGAGGCTCGAACAAGCGAGAAAGCTAAAACGTTTTAAACACCTGTTATGCTATGAACAGGCTCTGCGTATTGAAGCCCTCTTGGGTTTGAACATGGAGCTCTCTTGAGGTGTCGTGTGTGCTTCTTGGGCCGTCTTCGGAGCATCGAAGGCTGTCGTGGAGGGCTGTAGAACCATCTTGGGCAGGTCTTGACGATCTTGGGGAACTCCTGGCCACCAGGTTGAGGCAGCCTGCGACCGCCTCGACCCATCGCGAGCCTGAAATAACAAAAACACGACTGCGAAAACGGGCCCCGCCCCCGACAGGGGGGGGGATTTTCGGAAAAGCGGGGGGGGGGGGGCGGGCCCGCGGCCCTGGACGCCAGTGGCATCATTTGTGGCACACGTTTTGGGGTGGGCGGCTCAGGAATCAGGGGGGGGAGGCAGGGAGGGAGGGAGGAAGGGAGGAGGAGGAGGAGGGGGAGGAGGAGGAGGAGGAGGAGGCGGAAGGACGAGTGACTAGGAGGGAGGGGCGAGGAGCGAGGAGAAAGCTCTGGGCCCACGCGCGCGCCCTCGTTTCGGCGGGTTCGCGTCCTGACGACACTGGCGTTGGTTTCTGACACAACGTGGGTCGTTCAACCTTGAACGATCGGCGGCATCTCGATCGCCATGTCGTTCCACGTTGAGGCCACTTGCGGCGTTCAACCTTGCACGCACGCGCTGGGGTCGACGCCGCGTCGACACGACACGAGCCGACCGTATCTTTCGGCGTCCTTGCGCGGAGCGATCTTGAGCAGGGATTGGTTCAGGGAGCCGCGGTGCACTGCACTGGCGATGATGCTCTGGCCGCCCTGCTTGTGGTCTGGCCACGGGTGGACCTGTGGACGGAAGGGTCTAGAGAAAAGAGGCCTCCCACCTTCGGAACGTTCCGCTCGCCTATTCATCTCCTCATTCCCGCCCCTCTCTCGTTCCCTCTCTCTCTCTCTCTGTTTCTCTCTTTATGTTTCTCTCTGTCTCTGACTCTCTCTCTCTCTCTCTCTCGTTCTTTGTGTTTCTCTCTCACTCGCTTTGTCTCTCTCTCTCTCTCTCTCTCCATCCTTCGCACCCTCCTCCTCCTCCTCCTCCTCCTCCTCCTCCTCCTCCTCCTCCTCCTCCTCCTCCTCCCTCCTCATCCTCCTCCTCCTCCTCCTCCTCCTCCTCCTCCTCCTCCTCCTCCTCCTCCTCCTCTCCTCCTCCTCCTACCTCCTCCTCCTCCTCCTCCCTCCTCCCCTCCTCCTCCTCCTCCTCCTCCTCCTACCTCCTCCTCCTCCTCCTCCTCCTCCTCCTCCTCCTCCTCCTCCTCCTCCTCCCTCCCCTCCCCCTCCTCCTCCCCTCCTCCTCCTCCTCCTCCTCTCCTCCTCCGCTCCTCCTCCTCCTCCTCCTCCTCCTCCTCCTCCTCCTCCTCCTCCTCCTCCTCCTCCTCCCTCCTCCTCCTCCTCCTCCTCCTCCTCCTCCTCTCCTCCTCCCTCCTCCTCTCCTCTCCTCCTCCTCTCCTCCTCCTCCTCCTCCTCTCCTCCTCCTCCTCCTCCCTCCTCCTCCTCCTCCTCCTCCTCCTCCTCCTCCTCCTCCTCCTCCTCCTCCTCCTCCTCCTCCTCCCCTCCCTCTCCTCCTCCCTCTCCTCCTCCTCTCCTCCTCCCCTCCTCCTCCCTCCTCCTCCTCCTCCTCCCTCCTCCTCCTCCTCCTCCTCCTCCTCCTCCTCCTCCTCCTCCGCCTCCTTTTCCTCATCCGCCTCCTCCTCCTCCTTCATCCCTTCCCTTAAGTTTGGGACGTGATAGCCATGTCACATACGGAGGGCGTGGATTTCAGACTGTGTCTCTCGCCTGCGGGCCGCGCACACTCGCTTGCACAACAAAAGAAATACCGAACCACAGAACGCATACGGAAATTAAAACAATTAATACTCAGACGACGAATACTACCAGTAGTTGTAATAGTGATGCGAATAATAAAGAGAATGACTATAAAGATAACAACACTCATAAAAATGCGAGTAAGAAATACCATAATACCGCACATGAACTGAATAACGCTGAAAATGCCAAGAAAGTCACTTGCAACAGCAATAGCAAGCATGCTATGAATAATGGGAATGCAAATAATATCCATATTAATCATACGAGCAGCGGTAATAGTGATAGTAGTAGTCGTAGTAGTAGTAGTAGTAGTAGTAGTAGTAGTAGTAGTAGTAGTAGTAGTAGTAGTAGTAGTAGTAGTAGTAGTAGTAGTAGTAGTAGTAGTAGTAGTAGTAGTAGTAGTAGTAGTAGTAGTAGTAGTAGTAGTAGTAGTAGTGATACTTAAAATATTACTCATATAGTTCAGAATGGTGATACGAATACATGCAGCAGCGAGCCGCTTTCGAAGTGTAGTGTTCTCGTTAGCGCCGCGCACATTCGTTTTTAAAGTTTATAGCGAATTCACGGATGGAGGGCGAATCAGTTTCAAAATGTGGTGCTCGCCTTAGCGCCGCGAACATGTGTTTGTAAGTTTGCAGCAGGATGGACGGGGGTACCTGATCAAAACGCTGCGCCCGCCTGAACGCCGCATGAATTCGTTTGAAATGTGTACAATAGTTGCAAAGGTTCTTACGGCTGAAGTCCCAAAAGTAAATCATGGCACGATTTTAGGATGTCCGGACGCAACCGTATGTAGATTCGAAGTGCTGAAGTTCCAGGACTTGTGCTTCGACACAAACTACGTTTGTCAGGACGCAACAGCCAGGTTGATTCGCGGCATTGAAATCCAAGGTATGGCGTTTGGGCGCGAGTGAGGAATCTCAGCCTGTTGTCTTCCAGTGGGCACTTCCCTCAATGAGAACAACTGTTTGCAAGGACATATGAAGAAGAAACTTGAAGGGAGGGTGTGCTGCAACATCGTTGGTGCGTCCTGGGTTTGTGGCACTGGTCCTCCTACTCATCCTCCTCCTCCTCCTCCCCCCGTCCTCCTCTTCCTCCTCCTCCTCCTCCTCATTCCCCTCCTCCTCCTCTTCCTCCTCCTCCTCCTCCTCCTGCTCCTCCTCCTCCTCCTCCTCCTCTCCTCCTCCCTCCTCCTCCTCCCTCCTCCTCCTCCTCCTCCTCCTCCCTCCTCCTCCTCCTCCCTCTCCTCCTCATCATCATACATCACCAACATCATAATATGTTTCCTCCTCCTCCCCCTCCCCGTCCTCCATTATCATCCTAATCCTCCTCGTCACCCTTCTCCTCATTTCCCTCGCCCTTCCCCACATAAGTCGAAGGCCCCGCGAGCACATCAGTTTCTTTTTGGGGGGGGTACTGTTGCCCGACCAGTTCGACAATTCGACAGATCACCGCGACCTGCTCGCAGCCTCCCGTGCCGCAATGCGGGCACGGATGGCCTCCAAACATAGTAGCGGTGCGGCAGAGGCCCTCAGGGCACTCCGCCGAGCAACCTCAAGAACAACAGTTGCCTCCTTGCACCCAACCCGTTCTTCAGGTTCCGCGCGCGACACGGAGACATTGCGTAGCGGGTGCAGGCCACGCCGCAAACGGGACAGCACCTGCAACCCGCTACCCACACTGCCTGGCTTGCAAAGTGCAGCCAGTTGTCGAGTCTTGTGCTGTGAGTAGGCTCCGCACGCAAGACAGAAGAACAAAGGGGCCTGCTCGTCACCAACTTGCGTGCTCGCTAGCTTGTGTCCGTTCTCGGGCGCAGACACGAGCAACTCAGCCACACGCTCTGGAAAACCTCCACAGCCCAGCTCAGGTCTGTCGTGGAGGTCACCCCCATAGAAATCAAGACAGCGGGCACAGCGGTGACCCCACAGAGCGGGCTCCCAAGAGTGCCAAGACGTCGTCTGATCGAAAATCTTACGAAGGCCAGGACTGGAGGAGGGTGGTGGGGGGGGATGGAAGCCCAGGCACCCTGTGGGGCGGCGACCCGGGCAGGTAGGCCTCGGCCCCACCCGCGCCGATCGGCACGAGGTGGGCCCCTCGCCTGGTTCGCCGCCCGCAAAAGGGGCGGGCGCGCCCCCTCGGGGGAAGGGCTGGCGCGGGCCTCGTCGGGCCTGCGACGCGCGCCCGCGGGCGTGGCTGGCGCCGAGCCGCAGGGGCCCGCCTGCGGCCCCCAGCGCGGCTCACCGCACGGCGCTTCCAGCGCGGCTCGCACCACCCAGGAGCGCGTTTCGGCCCAGGACGCCCCACCAGTGTTACGTCGGGCGTGACCCCCCAAAGGTGGATTTTCAACGAAAAATAAAATAACAAAAAAAAAAAAACAAAAAAAAAAAACCCAAAATGGTAATAACAAAAATGGTCCCCAGACTATGTTTTGATCATTTTTGAATATTCCCCCTGTAGAGGGGCAGGCCCGACTTGACACCAGTGTTGGCGGCCAGGGCCCGCCGGGAGCTCCCGCGGCGCGGGGCCCTCGAATTTTTGTGGCCGTGCTCTGCTTCCAGGGGAGCTCTTCGGGCGGGGGCGGGAGGGGTTCACGACGTCCCCCCGCGGGCCGTTTATAGCTCCACTGTTAGAGGACAGAGAACGATGCACATACACCGACCGATTCTGGCCAGGCCCATCCTGAGCCAAGGATCGGTGCATACGCCCGCTACCTTGGCCAGGAAGGTATATGCACCGATCCTGGGTCAAGGACGGGCCTTGCCAGGATCGGTGCATGTGTATAGTTCTCTTCGCCCGAATTGTACTCGCGGAGCTTTGAGCGTCAGCTCCGCATTATCCGCGTGATCATCGTTCCCCCCTTCCGGGTTCGGTGTCTTCTTCCCACCCTCCCCTTTCTCCTCGATTCGGTTCGATGTGGGCACCAGGGTTGCCCTCGGTGTTGCCCTATCCTCCCCCCCGTCCTCCTCATCCCCATCATTATCCTCGTCATCACCATCCGCACCAGCATAATAGTCGCCGTCCCTCATCATCCTCATGAACGCCGTCACCATCATCAGCATTATAAAACTCATCGTCACGATCATCGTCGTCACCATCATCCGTAGCATCATCATCATCATCATCATCATCATCATCAGCATCATCATCATCATCATCATCATCATCATCAGCATCATCATCATCATCATCATCATCATCATCATCACCACCATCATCATCATCATCATCATCATCATCATCATCATCATCAGCATCAGCATCAGCATCAGCACCATCAGCAGCATCACCATCATGTTCAACCCATCCTCGCTTTTACCATCAGCATCAATCGCCTCATCCGCACCAGAACCACAATCAGCATCATGATCATCATCACCATCATCATCAGCAGCAACAGCATCATCATCCGCATCAGCATCACACTCACCAGAACCACCCCACCATGACCATCTCCATCTCCATCATCATACGGATCCTCATCACCCTCAGCCTCACCATCAGCACCACCATCATCATCGTCATCCTCGTCATCGCCATCATCATCGCCATCATCATCACAATCATCGTCCCGATTCTCGCCCGCGCCTTCTTATTCATCCTCCCCTCTCTCGCTATATTCCCCCTCGTCCCCCTCCGCCCCCTCGTCCTCGCAACCCTGTGTCCCTCCCATCACCGCCGCGTTCCTCTTGGCGCGCCGCTCCCGCAGAGCCCTCGAAGCCATGTAACACCTTGGACCCGCCAGACCTCAGCCCGCACCTGCGGCAAGGCGCACAGGACTTGGGATCGGCACACACCTGAACGATCCCGGGGCATACGACTGACATGATTATCGGAGGTGAGGGGGTGAGATCGAAGTGGAACGGAGAGCCCCCCTACCGGGAAATCAATTTCGGTTTCGTGTTCGTGCGTGCCGTGCGCGCGGGCGAGGCGAAGCTGCGTGGGCGGGCGAGAGAAAGTCTCCTGTGGCTGAGGCGCGGCCGGACCAA